TAAACAGGACCCTGTTTTTTTTTAATCACTAAGAACATCATTCTGACATTTATAATTAGTAATCATTGCAATATTTTTGTAAATTGTAGGTATAAATCTTAGCAGAAATAGTAAAAAGGTGATTGCTTAGAGACTTTTTTCCATTTGGTATAAAAATAAATATCAGCGGAGATAGAAAAAAGTCCTGTTTAGGGTCCTATTTAGAGACTTTTCATCTACCCAGAATATATATAATTTGCACACATTAAACATACTAAACGTTACTATAGTAATAACAATAATACTTACCAGTTTAATAAATTCGTGCTATGCAAGCGCGTATATGCTCAAAAAATTGCATATACATGCTTACACAAATTTGTAGATCCCTATGCCATAAGCATATATATACTTAAAAAAGAGTAAATACGTTTAAAAAAGAGTGTATATTTTCAAAAAAGAGCGTATATGCTCAAAATTAAGCGTAAATGCTCTAATAAAACAAAATGTATATAAGTGCCTGAAATTCAATAAAAAGTAACAGTTCATGCCCACTTTCAATTCCTAATAAACAATAACATATTTGAATTGTCTCTTGTGTCTTGTCTTTTGAATTCAACTTGTAACTTTAATAAACCTTTTTGAGACTCAATTCGACGGACTGAATTGACTTATATCTTCAATTTGGCTTATTAAAACTCAGATTCTAGACATTTGTGGAATCAGATATTGTCATTCACATTAGTGACTTGTGGGAATTGTGGTAGAAAATGATACTTATAACTGTTATTTAACTCTAGTAATCCATCACAGTTCTTAAGATCACCACTTTATTATTGCTCTTAACAGCATCACCTGTCATTGTATTACCTATTATCATCACTCATTAATATCAAAGTATTACTCTATAGTGCTTTATCACTTTACTAATTCCTTAACAATTATAAAAGACCCACTTTGCATTTCCAGATTTATATTTATTTTCTGTACACCATTGGAGTTAAAATGGCCTTTATCCTATAATATTTTCTTAAGCTCTCCAATAGTTACAATAGTAATTAGATAACCTACCAGCATTATATATTAGATAATCTACCAGCATTATACTGCTTTGCCAGCATTATAAAAAATCATACGCATGATTCAATAATTCTATGCGCATCATGCGCATGATTATGCGCATGATCATATGCATGTTATGTGCATTGCACATCACTAAGTATAATTATAACCCTCTAAGCCAATCTACATCCTACTAGCAAGACCCTAATCCTGAACTAATCGCAAACCCTTTTTTTAGTGAAAACTTTTTTATAAGATCACATGATGTATGAAACTTTTTGTCTCTTTTTAGAGAGATAATTTTTAATTATTTATAATTGTGTATATAAATAAATTTTAAATTTTGTTAGATGTAAAATTTTTGTGCTAATAATTATAAAATTTCAATTACTTTAAGCTTAAATTGTATAAAAAATTTTTATCTATATTTTAAAGTAGGCAAAATCTATATAAACATTTTTTATTTATGATAAATGCAGTAAAATTTATAGGAAATAATTATTATTTTAACAAAAAATTATATTTACAGTGATGATCTTTATATATATATTTATTATTTGTGAGAAATTCAAAAACTCTACTCAATCCTGCGGATCACGCGAGTGATTCTGTATCCCGCGCAGAATTTTTAAAAAAATCAGGATTTGCTCATCACTAACTCTGTTCTCCCTCCAAAGTTTTGTCCTTCTTGGCAAACTGGACTTAATAATACACCGATATCTCATAATTGAATTTGTAGAGCTCATCTCTGACTTCAAAGCATTCTATAGTACATCATATTTGACCTAAAATTGACTATTCTAGGACTCAAAACATCAAAACTCTCTTTTATTCTCTAAATTCTTAAAAAGTTTTTTCTAGCTTATCCCTATCCAAATCGTTTTTGTGTAATATTCGGACCTGTATTTCCAATTTGTTTACACCTGATCACATTAGCAACATAATCAATCCTTTCTGAGTAATCCATTTTACAATTAATTTACATAAATTAATTACTGCATTTGTTATTTATTCTACAATCAATTTAGCAACGTTACCCAAATTTTGCTTAATTGTGCAACTTGTGTAATACGTGATCTGTATAACACATAACTTGTGTAACACATGACTTGTGCAACCTTAGACTTTCTAGGTTACACAAGGTTATATGAGCCGCAGTAGCTATAATAATACCCCAGTAAATATAACACTCTTGTAACAAGTCCTTAATATATTAAAGACTTAGATTTTTAAATTTTTCTATGAAATATATTATAAAATATATATTATTTTGAAGCTTATTCTATTCTCTCTTTAAATTTAGCAACCATTTCTTTATAACACCTCTTGTTTTAAAAGTTACTTAGACATCTTCACTACTTACCTTAGTTTTTATTCTTAAAATCAACTAAATATGCCAACTCTTATTAGCAAAGATCCAGATCACTTCAATCTTTATTACTTCTATAACAAATATAGTAACAGATATGGTACCATGATCTGTGAAGCTTCACCTACACAACTCAAAGTTATGCCTTTCGCCTTCAATCCATCAGAATGTAATACTCTTAAAGCATTACACTATTTTCCTATCTCATCTCAACCAGCAATTATCCATTGCTATGGTCATAAATATCATACTTTCTTTACTTCTAGCTACTTAAATGTTCCTCCTAGATAAGCAACACCTCCTTCTTCCTCTTCTGATTCTATAGATATAGACCTTACGCCTTCGTAAATCAAAAAACTTAAAGTTCCATCTTCTAAATTAATGTCATCAATTCCACACTTTCCTCTTAACTACTCGCAACTCCCAACTACCTCTACTACCTCTCAAGTAGATACATCACAAATTTAGGCCCACTCACACCATGCTCATACTTGCATTATCTGCAAATAGAAAAACATTCTGTGTTTTCTTAGCAACAACAAACACGCTTTACTTGATAAGCTTACACTTAATATTCAAGGTTATCCAGCACATCCTACCTGTATTCATAAGCTTAAGGTTAAGCCACAACCACAAACAGTACCTTTAAACCAAAAATCGAGAGCAATACTCTACCTTATCCTCTTTAAAAAAATGAACAAAAAAGAGAAAAAAGAAATCTTCTTTAAACTTGAAAAACTTATTTCTAAATCATCTATACATGAACGCAAGCAATAAACAACCGAAAAACATCAAGAACAACAACAACCCAAAACAAAAACTAACCTAGCAACATATGATTTTCTAGCCAATTTCCCTGTTACTGAAGAAATGGAAAATAGAACTCAACTACAAACTGATCTTGCTAGAAAAATCTTTAATCACCTCAAATCACATCTATACGATTTTTACTCAGGAAAAAAAATCAAAACAGCTACATCTAATCGTAAACCTCTCAAGACTAGCTTCTATCAGATTATTCATAAAATGGCTGGTGCAAGGCCTCAATTTCTTGTTGATTTTATTAAACAAAAGAACCCTAATACTGATAAGGCTATTACTATTCTATTTGATATTCTCAAATCAACTTTTAAACAACTTGCCCACACATTCACAACTGTCTTTTTTACCAAACTTAATTATCCTAAAATCTTCGCTTCATCTGCAACCATTCCACCATACCAAAATCAAAATCAATTTCAATTTTGTATCAACCTTGCTCATCTCCACTTATATCTTTCAAATAAATATCAAACAATTAACTATACCAAATTTGGAGAGGATATTAAACTTAGACCCAAGAGATTTAAAATCTTATCCACTGTTTTAGACTATGATAAAGAGGAAAAATATCTCTCTGTCAAATCTGATAGCAAGTTTAATATTTACTTGAACTTTAACATTTCAAAAAATCTCTTTCTACAAAACTTTAATATTCCTTCTCTTAAAAATTTTCTTGACCATTTTGAAAAATAGTTTGAATACTTTTTCCCACCCTATAACCGTCAATTTGTTAACACTCTTGATAAAACTAAGGTCTACAACTCTCTAAAATACAAATTTCGTCAACAGTTTATCTCTCATCTCAGAGATCTCGTTCCTCCTTCTCTAGAATTTAATAAATTTAACAATTCATTAGAACGTCATAAAGAAGCTATGAAACTTACCAACTATCATATAATGACCTGCTCAGATATTACCTGTCCACATATGAGAAAACTGAAATCAAAAATAAAGGAAAAGAAACAAAAAACTAAACAACACAACAATTTACATTCAGACACAACTATAACAAATTACTCAAAACTACTCTTGAGCAATTATATATTAGCTATCCAAAACAACAACATGAATCCTGGCTACATCCTGAGATTAACCCATCACTATTCACTATTGAGGAAAAACATACAGCAACCTTTACTAATATGATGCCAACTAAACTTTTGGATGAACTTGCTACTCAAACAGAAGAGTATATTTGCAAAACCCACTCTTTGCCAACTGTTATCAAACGCCACAACTATTACTTTTATGAACTTCTAAATGTATACCAACAAGCAGCTACACAAAATCACCTTATTGACAATATCAACAAACAAAAAGCAATAGAAAATCTTACTATTAAACCTATTAGTACAGAT